ATGTGAGGAAAGGTTAAGATGTCAGTAGTTTCTCTTTAAGTCTTCTCTCACCACCCCCCCCCCCATTCACTGCAAAGTTTTGTTGCGTGTTTGTTGTATTATTAAAAGTTTGCAATGCAGAACAAGCCAATAGTGTTGGCTAAACCATGTGTAATAAACTCTAGTATTGCTAGGGTATTTGGGTTTGGCAAGAGAAAGCATCTAAATTTAGCCGTTATTAGTTAAAGGGTGTTTATGGTTACAGTGACTAGTGTTATATTACATGTAACTGACTGTAATCGGATCTGTACTGACCATAATATACCCTCACATATACAGCCTCCACTAATTACTGCCATGCATGATTAAAGGAAAACTTATTATAACTAGAGAAAATAGTGAATCGTATATAAGAGGAAATATTTTCCTTTTGTTAGGATTGATTTGATTACATTTATACCTTATTTATTATATCTTCAACGTGAGTAATTTTCATATGAAAAAGTTTAACTGTGTAGTCCTTCAGTTGAAAAAAAAATTAAAGCTTAATTTTTTAAAGAAAATAGATGAGTATCGGTTGATACTCAAGGTTTTGGTATCGGTATTGGAAAAGTGGTATTCTGTCGTCTCTGTTTCTTAACAGTATTTAAAAAGTGATGGTGATCACTACATTCAGTCCTCTGATGGACAGCCTTATTCGGACCAACTATACATGCATACAAGTTAAGGCGTGTTTCACTACTGAGGATCCGGACCCGAGAGAAGGACAAACCAGTCACCCTGGGGTGAAACACCTGAGTCGGACTGCAGGTGTGTAGTTTGGAGTCAAGGTGCTTATGTGAAGCTGAGAGGTTTGAATTTGATTCTTGCCACTCGAAGAATCCAATAAGTGTTGTCAGTAGAGCTTACATTTGAAGTCAGAGCAGCAAGTAGAACTATTGTGTAGTCAACACTGTCCATCCATCCATCTTCTACTGCTTACTCCTTCAGGATCACGGGGGAACCTGGAGCCTATCCCAGGGAGCATTGGGCACAAGGCGGGGTACACCCTGGATAGGGTGCCAGTCCATTGCAGGTCACATACACATACACACACACCCATTCATACACTGGACAATTTAGACACACCAATCAGCCTACCATACATGTCTTTGTACTGGGGGAGGAAACCGGAGGAAAACCCTGCAGCATGGGGAGAACATGCACACACATGGCCCCGGCGGGAATCAAACCCCAAACCCTGAAGGTGTGAGGCAAACGTGCTAACCACTAAGCCTGGTCAACACTGTTAGTAAATATAACTTGTATGCAGATTTGAACAGCTTGTTTAGTCAGTGGTTGATGTCATGTGGTCGTGAGAGTTAAGGCCATCATCTAAAATTACACAGATTATTCGCTATTTTAGATGGACACACATGGATGAGATGGTGAGGAAGTAAGCGGGGGGAGGGTGTGGTTGTCATGGTTACAGAATTGCACAGTTTAGTCTATTCCTGGGGTTGTAAAGATGAATTTTCTAAATCCAGTATTAGTCACCTCAACAATTTACATTTATTCCTTTAGCAGATACTTTTATCCAAAGCGACTTACAAATGAGGAAATACAAGCAAAGTGATCTATGAAGCAGAGAATGATATAAGTGGTGCTACAATACAAGATCCATTAATTGAGTTCTAGAAGAAGCAAAGTGCATAGAGTAAAGCTTTAAGAGCCAGAGTAAGGTTTTTCTTGACTGTTTGTTTGTTTTTTAGGTGTTGGTTATGTGTTCACAGAAGAGGTGGGTCTTTAGCTGTTTTTAGAAGATAGTGATAGATTCTGCGGTCCAGATTGAGGTTGGAAGTTCATTCCAACACTGAGACACAGATAGTGTGAAGGTTCTGGAAAAAATTAGGCAACAAACTCATTGGGTGAAAGAGGCCCTCCCAAGGAGTTGGATTCATGTTTTGTGGTCCAATCAGGCCTAAATGTTTTTTAACCATTCACACCACTGGCATGTTTAGAGATAAATAGAAAGAAATGCATACAGGGAAAAGAAACTGTCATGCAGAGTCAATGTCACTAAATGCCAGAATATTTTAGTCATAAACCTAATTGAGTCTTCCAGGAGGTTAAGACTGGGCCATAGTTGGATCTTTTAACAAGATTATAACCCCAAACAACAGAGAAGTGGCTAGATTTTAAGTAGTTCACGTGCCCAAAATCAAGAATATAAAAGAGCCTAAAATGTTTTACAGGAAGGAGAGATCAAAGATTCATATACAAGTGTCTTTACACCTGTTTAAACACGCTCAGTGATCACTCTGTACAACAAAAGCTTTGTCAAGTATTAATTGTGGGGTGTGCCTAATTTTTAAATAAAACTATTTAAGAAAACTTACACTTACCAAACACTTTATTAGGAACACTATACTAATTCTGGGTAATGTATATCATGCATCATGCCCACAATTCACCATCTTCTAATGGCTACTTCCAGCATGATAATGCACCACGTCACAAAGCAAAAGTCATCTCAAACTGGTTTCATGAACATGAGAATGAGTTCAGTGTTCTTCCCAGTCACCGGATCTGAATCCAGTAGATCACCTTTGGGATGTGGGAGAACGGGAGATTCACAGCATGACCAAACATGGACCCGAGTCTCAAAGGAAAGTTTCCAACATCTTGTGGAATCCATGCCAAGAAGAATTGAGGCTGTTTTTACAGCAAAGGGAGACCGTACCCAGTATTAGTATAGTGTTCCTAATAAAGTGGTCTGTTAGTGTATGAAGTATTTTACACATTATAAGTACACTGTATAACACTGTATAAGCTAACATGCCTGAATATTGATAATAGCTATCTTTTAATGCTTAACCATTAGTAATTAATTTTTGGCTATAAATAAGACCATTCGAAGTTTTTACGTTTTGTTTTGTGCAGGCGCTTGTGCACGTGACTGTTTCTTTTGTTTGTTTGTTTGTTTGTTTGTTTGTTTGTTTGTTTGTTGTTTTATATATCCCGACTCGGCAACGCCAACAGTAAATTTGATCATTCTGTTAATCAACCAGCAGAGGGTGCTATTGTTATTGTAGAATAAGAGAAGCGAGAAGCTCCACGACTCTTGTTGTGGCAGCAGATGGCCTGCAGGTGTAATCCCTGTCTAATCTGGAGATTTACAATCAACAGCCCGAAAAGAAATAAACAGACTTGGGCTAAAAGCGAGCAACAGACAGACATGGTTTAAAAGTTTCACAAGAAAAGCAGCTGTAATTTTGCAATTTGCCACAGAGCATCAGATTCAGGTTGGATTACACTGTTGGATTACCTGCAGCAGATTATCAACCATGTTTTTCCACAACACACTTCAATTGGATGAAGAGCAGTTATTACAACTTGTTTATGCATCGCTTTAGTTATTTATTAGGTAAGAAACTTGCTAAATAAAATGAATTGTATTTAAAGAAGTTATGATTTTAAATTAAGATTTGTATTTAGTGTATGTAAATGAAATGAAATAGTTTAACATTAAAATGTGCTGCCTTACATGAACAACTGCTCCTGGCCCTAAATCCAGACCGAGATGAAGGTTTAGATTTTAAAATCTTTCAGTAATACCCAAGGACAACAGTTACTGTTTTGAAATATTTAAATAAACATATAAAATCTAATAATTAATCTAATAATGCAAGTAGCTTGTAATTTGCAATTTTTTTCTTTTCTTCTTTTCTTTCAAGTAGTCTTGTAATTAAAACTCTCTAATTTCTACCACAAATCTAATTGTAGAAAACTTATGTAAATGTTTATACTTTGTGTATATCAAACTCCATAACTATTTCATCTACACATGAGAAGCCTTACAATATAAAACAGTTGTTTTGTTTGTTTGTTTGTTGTTTTTTTGCAGCAGCAGTGCTCAGATATTAATCAGCACTCAAAGTAATAATGCAGTTTTGCACTAGATGAATGTACGGACGCTAAATCTTCACTTGGTGTGAAACTAAACCAGAGAGGTATTTTGGTGACTCCTGACTCATTATCATGAGAGAAAAGAGACTATAAATCAGAGACAGCTTTAAGTCAGACATTAAAAAAAGTCATCTATTAATAACCAAATCCTCGATTTATGTGTTGTTCTAGTGTGTAGTTTGATTCCTCTGGAACAAAAGGGTGCAAGAACCATTCTGGGGCAGGAGTAGAAAGAAGGGCAGCACCTAGAAAATAAAAAAAGATTCAGAGTCATAAATTCTAAGTAAAATTTTAACATTTTAAAAGCTACAGTAGAAATAACAATTGTAATATTCTGCATTTAGTGACTTATCATCAACTCAGATTCTTCTGTTGTGGCACTCCTGTTTGAGTAAATAATGAAATTATTGTAAGCAGCAGAAGTACAGATATAAGTATATACTTATAACGTGACCACAGATATAAGTGTGGCAAGTTGACAGTACATAGCCTCAAACATAGCCTCAAACAAAATTCAGTTGAGGTGCTATCACACTTGTTTTGTGCTGAAGTGAATATTTAGAATATCCCTATAACAGGCAGCGGAGACTCAACAACATGCAGTCATTCATTTAGATGTACCTCTGTTCATCTGTGTTTGATACAGCAGGTGTGCTTCCCATGACCAGGGTTAGGCAGGACAGATAATATCATTAACCAGGTTTGCCAGATTTCAGCAGAATTCCGTCTCAAAATGCACATAAATTTTTGCATTGAGAAAGAGACATATTGTCTTTGCATAGGAAACAAGGTTATAGTGGTGTACACACATAATTCCTCTTTGTCCTCTCTGAATTTTTGTAATATAGCTTACAATAGAAATGGTTCTGTACATCACAGACACACTGTCTACACTGGAAAAGATGAAATTCTGATTATTTGCTATAAAACAAGATCTTGATGGCTGTGAAGTATTTTTAAACTAGCCCAATCTGGCAGCTCGATCAACTTTGCGTCCTCATGTGGGGCAGTGTGCTTCTTTCCCCAATGGGCACTTGTCTTAGTTCCCATTTTTGACCAGTAGGTGTTAAGGAGGCAGTAGTGGCTCAGTGGTAGCTCAAGACGTTGGACTACTGATTGAAGGTCATGAGTTCAAATCCCAGCACTGCCAAGCTACCATTGTTGGGCCCTTGAGCAATGCCCTTAATTGCCCTCAATTGCATGAGAAGCCACAGCGTATATGGTGCAAGCCTAAGTGTACCGTGATTAATTGCTTAATTGCCCCTTAATTGCCCTCAATTGCTCAATTGTATAAATGAGATAAATGTAAGTTGCTCTGGATAAGGGTTTTGGCCAAATGCTATAAATGTAAGGAAGCTAAGTGCAAAATCACCTGGTGCACATGATTATACATCATTTTGAAAGACAAGTAGATCAACCATTGAATTAGCATTAATTAACATTTTTTTAAATCCTTGGTCACTCAAAAGAGGTAATCAGTCAGTCTCTCCAAGATTTTGTGATTTTCCGATTGCAGAAATGAATGCAAAATCATGGAAACTCCACTGTATTCAGAGGAGCTTGCAATGTTTCAAAATTACTGCAGATTTTGGCCAAGATGTGTCATGTGATGTCATCACAACACACATTCTGTCAGCCTTCTTCAATTCACATGTCGAACATGGGTACAGCTAAAAAAATATATATATATATATATCACTGAGAAAGGCCGTGCAATCGCAATGTCATCAATTCAAGTAGTTTTCCGCGAAAAAGCACAAATAACTCCACAAATTACATCACATATTTAGAAAAAAAAGTGGCAGCAAAATCAAATATTTTTGGCAACAACAATCAAAAAAATTCTGCAAAATCTTGTATGGACTGATTATTGTTTGAACCCAAATGAAATTATATGGAGTTGTGAATGACAACTTAATGAGGATGACCTTTTGTTGAACAACTAATATAAACACATATACATATACACATTACACATAAACACATATACATATATGTCTATACACCAACATGTTGTGAAATTCTCTCAGCCACAGGTGATCACTATGCTGAGCAACTTCATAAATGGAATTCTCTGTTGTTTATCGGGGAAGTCTGCAAACATCGTGGTCCCTATTAAAACATCTGAACCTGCAGACCATTTCGAGTTTGTGGAGGTAAAGCCTGGCAGAATGATGCGTATTTGTCATATTAGACCTCAGCGAGCTGTGATAGAGGAACCAGACACAGGGGAGGTGGGTACTGTGAGCTGTAAGAGGAAAATCACGGTGTATAACAGCGGACAGTTGTTCATTGAGAACACGAGTGAAGCGACTCACCCAGAGCTGGTACGCTGCCAAAACGGCGAGAGTGCTGTGGAGGTGGATGTAGTGGACAGTAACAACACAGCCTCAGGACAGGCTGTAGAGTCCGGCATAGCAGTAGCACATGAGAAGCCACAGCGTATATGGTGCAAGCCTAAGCGTACCGTGATGATCGACTGTGAACGCAAGATTACCCAGTGCAAAGAGACACACCCTGATGTGGCACTGTTCTTCATTCATGGAGTAGGAGGCTCTTTGGATATTTGGGAGAGCCAGCTGGACTATTTCTCTCAGCTCGGTTATGAGGTGATCGCACCAGACCTAGCTGGCCATGGAGGCAGCTCTGCACCTCAAATCACAGCTGCCTACACATTTTACGCCCTCGCTGATGATGTAAGAATCATATTCATGAGATATGCAAAACGGCGGAATATTCTCATTGGGCATTCATATGGGTAAGGGGTTGATTCTTTCTGTGCTGTCTTATTCATTCAGTCTTGTTTTTAATTTTGGCATTGGAAACGGCAAGTGATTCGTCATTCCCTTTTTCCCTCCAGTGTGTCTTTCTGCACCTTTCTGGCCCATGAGTATCCAGAACAAGTTCACAAAGTGGTGATGATTAATGGTGGTGGGCCTACAGCCCTGGAACCCAGCCTCTGTTCAGTCTTCAATCTGCCAACGTGTGTACTCCACTGGTTGTCGCCATGCCTATCATGGAGCTTCCTCATGTAAGATTATGTTTTAAAGCAATTTCTTTTTGTTACAGTAGCCACAAGCATGTCATCATTCCTACTATGATTTTCGGGACTAACGGTTTGTTCCTCTAGGGCTGGTTTTGCTCATCAGGGCCCAAGGGAAAAGAAATTTCTAAAGGAGAAAAACGCCTTCAATGTATCGTCTTTTGTGCTGCGGTCAATGATGAATGGGCAGTACTGGCCAGAGGGTGATGAGGTGTACCATGCTGAACTCACCGCACCAATCCTCCTGGTACATGGCGTGTATGACAGGTTTGTGTCAATACAAGAGGACCAGCGCATGGCAGAGGTAAACATTTTACTGATCTGTGATCATTGTAAATTTTGTAGTAAAAACATTCATCTAGAACACTACTGCACACCAACAAACTTGAACGTTATGAACCATCTATAACAGTATAATTACACTCAATGTCTTGACAGATACTACTTCTGGGCTTCCTGAAAGTCATAGAAGAGGGAAGCCACATGGTGATGATGGAGTGCCCTGATACAGTCAATACTTTGTTGCATGAATTTTTCCTTTGGCAGCCAGCCACTGCCTCCAAACCCAAACAAGAAACAGCACTTCAACCAAAGGCTAGCAAAACCAGCGCCCCCAAAGAAATAGCAAGGCTGACAGCTGCACCCAAGACTGCAACCCTAGAGCAAGACTCAATAAGGCTAATAACTCACACACAGACTACAAAATGTGCATAATTACACAATGGAAATAGTCTATTTAGACAGATATACTAGATTTGTCATTGTAAGAGAGCACAACACAGCTATTCAATAGTGAGGAGAAAAGATGTGATATTTTCTGCGATATACAGTCATGTGAAAAAATAAGTACACCCCATGGAAATTATTGGCTTTTTTGACATATTTGGACAAGCAAACATTTGATCATCTTTGAAACAGTGTCTATTAATAAAGTTGATATACTTGAACAAAACCACAAGGAAAATGAGCTTTTTAAATCATTTATTTAACAGAAATATCAATAGATGTGATATTCTTCTATGGAAAAAGTAAGTACACCCTTGGCCTCAGAAGCCAGTATTATCCCCTTTAGCAGAAATTACGTCTTGTGTTGCATAATTGTCCACCAGTCTCTGACATCGGCTTGCTGGAATTTTTGATCACTCTTCAAAATTCTTCAAAGGAAACACCAGACACTAGATATGAAAGGGGTATAAATAAGACTGGTTCCACCTGCTTTCCCTAAGCAGGTTCTTATCACTGGCACCCAATCTTCAACACCCGAGTCTAATTTTATGGATTTGAATGTGTGATAAATGTGTACTTACTTATTTTTCTTACTTGGTTCATTTAAATTGTGAAAATTGCTATGTCAATTTCATGTAATTTGATCACATGTATCACCTTAATTAATAGGCACTGCATTAAAAAGGTTGTTTGTCCAAATTCACATGACTGTATATATAGTTCTGAAAACTACAGACTTTCCTGAACTTAGTTTTATTCACACATATCTAAATGGTAGATGATCTGCACTTATATGGCACTTTTTATTCATCTAGATAGCACTTTTTATCCAAAGCACTTTACACTGTGTCTCATTCACACACCAATGGTAGCAGAGCTGCCATGCAAGACTTTAACTTGCCATTGGGACACTTCAGGCCGGGAATCGAACCACCAACCCTACACTTAGTGGACAACCCGTTCTACCACCTGAGCCACAGCTGCCCGCGTATCTCAATCACATATCTCAATCACATATCGTTATAACATTCTTAATCTGATTACCCCAGAAATTAGAAATCTATGTAGAATACTGCTGACTCTACACTACCTCCCTCTGGTGCTGTGCCGCCACTGCAAGTAATGAGGATATTGTAAATTGCCCTAGGAGCAAATTGGTGCATTAAATGTGTATGCATGGTGGCCAGCTGCATCTCATTCAGACTGTACTCCCAGGATAGGCTCTTGATCTGAATGATGTTTTCTTCATACTGCCTTTTTTATGTACTGGACTAAAGATGTCATTTTATGAAATATATACAAATAAATAGCATATATATATTTTAAAATAATTGTAAAAAATAAAAAATAAATACAAATAAAAAATGGGAATACTATCAGGCAAGGGCGTAACCATGGTATGGACATTGGGGGGTCCCAAGCGCTAGACTCCCGCACTCCCCAGACGCTAACCCCCCCCAGCCGCCTCCGCCGGCCACCAAACGTCCAAAGTTTGATACTGAAAATTTTCATATTTACAAGATAGTTTTAGGATTACAGTTACTGTTTGAATTCACGTGGTTTCTGAGTGATAGAAGCTCCCACAGCATGGGGAAATAATAGGGTGCTGTGGACGTCCTGTGGGCAGATGTATTCTCTGCGAAGGAAATCCTGTGCAACTTTCCTCACTTTCACTCGCCTTTATAACATAACATTTATAACATTTATAACATAACATTTATAACAGTCTGTCACAGCGCGAGGGTTCACACCGAACTCGGCGGGAGGATGTGCACGTGAATGTACCGTTAATGGTCAAAAACTGGAACTGACATTAGCCTGGATATTTAGGTGTCTGGTTACTGACTGTCTGAAAAAAGCTCGTATGTTCTGCTGCACTTTTCTACACTTGGATGCTGTCTCCATTTTACAGACTGAGCGGCTACAATATATCAACCAACCTGTGTCGAGTATGGGCGAAACCAAGTGTACAATCAGAGGGGGGACACAGCATCCATCCATGCATCCATCCATCTTATTCCTTCTTCAGGGCCACGGGGAACCTGGAGCCTATCCCAAGAAGCATCGGGCACAAGATTTTCCTTAACAAACGGAATAAATAAATAAATAAATAAATAAATAAATAAATAAATAAATAAATAAATAAATAAATAAATGTGTGTGTATATATATATATATCGATGAATTCGACACACTACTGTCCACCATCCCAGATGATGGAACTCCTCTTCTGGTCCTTGGTGATTTCAACATTCATCTAGACAAGCCACATGCAGCTGACTTCCTTGCTCTCCTTCACACATTTGACCTCAAGCAGCTCACCACACCAGCAACCCACAAAGCCGGCAAACAGCTTGACCTCATCCTCACACGTAATTGCA